ACCCTGTTGAAAAGGCTTTTTTGGGGCTCTAGGTTTGGTCTCTAATAAGGATTGCATCAGATATCCTCGGCTGGGAAACAGGAGGTGCTGGCTCTCCTGCCAGCCTCACGCTTCTAAGCTGGAGTCTGACGCCTGGACTGCGTGGAGATGTGTGCTGGCCAAGCAGAGGGCAAAACCTGCCTTTCTCTCTTGGTTGTAAGTTGGTTTTAGGGTCTTTTTTGTTTGTTTTGGTTTGGTTTTTTTTCTTATTCCTCCTGCCTTCCACGAATGCCCCAAAAGACAAGCTAGGACCTTGTTGAACTGTTCAGTAACCTCAACTGTGCTTGTAGTTCTACCAAAATGTTTCTGGAGGGCTACACTAAGTGAGTTTATTGATGGTACTTGAAAAAAAAATAAAGAGCTCTCACTGACTTTGGCAAAGTCTTGTCTGAGATACTGAATTGATTTTTTTTTTTTTTTCTTTTTTCCCAGATGGCTGGAGGCTCAGCCACTTCAGCTTTCTTGGAGGCCTGAGTCATAGGAAAGTTTAATACTTGTGTATAATAAACTAGATTTATTTATTTTTTTTTTTTAGTAAAGCCAGTAGAAAGTATGCTTTCTGGTTCTTGAAATAAAATGTCTTTCTTCTGTTTCTTACCTTCTACAAATTAAATTGACCTCAGTTTCAAAGCAGAACACTGAAACACTAACTCCTGAAAATGTTAGGACAGGAAAAAAAATATTTTTAAGAACTGAGCTATCTGCTAGTCATGGTGGAATATGGCTTCAGTCTGAACCTGCATTTTCCTGTAACTACTTGCATGAAAATGTGAGATTATTCAAATGAAATGGTCTTATCCTGCCCCCATTCAGGAAGTGTTGCCAGGCTTTGCCTGTTAGTGTTTAACTGCTGGCATAAATAAGTTTGCTTCTTGAAAAGCTGTATTTATTTTCACGAAAAAAATCACATTAAAATTATAGGATTTATTAAACTAATAGCCAATAAAATTGTTAACTGTGAGCTTATTAGATTTTCTTTAACTTTCTCAGATATAGACTCTGATTGTAGTTTAATGTCTCAGGGTATTTTTCTTCTGCATTTCACGTAGAGCCAAACAAAGCCAACCTGACTTTCCCATGATGTCAAAAGCTGCACATTGTTCAGTATTAGCTTTAGACTAATTTTTGGCAAACTTTCACATTCTAAAAAAAATCCCAGAATGACTTCTAGTTTTGCTCATGGCCACAGATACAGCTAGCTAAGATACAGTGGCTGAAGGGAGAGGACGAGTAATTACTTAGTAGCCACCTACCAAGCAGTAAAATAGGACAACAAAAAAACCCCTGAACTATAAAGCTAAAAGGCCATTTCAGACCACTTACCTTGCGTCATCTGAGAGTCCAAAGTGATTTAGTCCTTACCAGTGCATTAAAAAAAAGAGCAGAGAGGATCAGGTTCTGGCACAGAAAAGTTAATAATTAATATATTTCAAAAAATTATGATAAATTATTAATAAGAAAATCGCAGTCATCAATACTCACGGCGATACTGGAATGAATGGAAACTCGTGTCTTCAAAGCATTTTTCTTATAAGAAGTTGTTTTGCAAAATGAAACAGGATTTAAAGTTTACTCTGAAGTTTTACAGAGCATAAAAAATTTGCTATGGGAATTTAGTGGGCACTGAAATAATAAAGCTCTTGAGTCCACATTCAGTGAGGGTCACCACAGACCAGCCTGAGCCCAGCATGTTGCCCTGGGAACATGGTGTCACCTTTGCAATTTGAAGAAATTCATTTTGATACCTTGGGACGTGGTGTGAGGGGAAACCATTGGTGCTTCCTTTTGCTGAGGCTCGTACCTGGTGTTGGGAGGGTCGGGGCAAGAGGCTGCTACTTTACACACAGCTGAGAAAGTTGCCAGAAATGTAGTGTTTTGGGATTCACAGAGGATGTTTTTGAGGGCAACCTTCCACTGTCAGTGGCTCTTTTGATCTTAACATTTGGAATCTACTTAGTACAGGGAAGAAAAAAAGTCCCCAAATTAAAATAGAGAAAAATAAAGAAGGGAATGGGGCAGGATGAAGACTGCTCGCCTTGTCAGGTGTCTTTGGTACTGTAGAAGTAAATGCTGTAGGACTGCCGAGACATACATTAACTAAATAGCAATGACTGCTGGTGCAGAAATCACTAAGCAAACAGTTCTGTAGATTCTGGACCCATGTGTCTTCCCATATGCAAAACCACAAGGAGATAATTGCCTAAGTACTTCAAACTGGAGAAACTTAATTGTTAGAAAAGCTGAGGATCAGCTTAGTGGAGTTACTCCGCTGCAAGAGGACAACCAGGTCTTTCTTGTTTTTAATAAATGATGGTTGAAACTGGTCAGTCATTAGAAAATTTGAATGGCAGCAGACTTTCCCCCTTTTACTCTCTTGCTGGATCGTGGTCACTTTGCAGTTTGCAGATCCATGTAGAGTCCAGGCCTGTGCTATAGAGAGGGTGCTGTGGTTTAGGAGAAGCAAAGCTACCCCTTGCATATCATATCCTGGGGAAAAATATTTAAAACCTTGCCCCACAGAAGAAGGCCATGTTAAACAAGCCAGGTGCTTGTGCAGTAGTATTGCCTGTGCTTCTGCCCATCCCTGTGGTACCCCTAGGAGATGGTTGAAGGAGGGTTTGCATCCAGGACAGCAGGGCTTCCACCAGCCAAGGTAGCTTTAACCTCTCCTGGTAATGTATTGATGAGCACAGTTTGTTTTGCACAGGCTTCATGGCTTTGCTCCAGTAAAATTGCAGCAGTTTTGCCCAGTCACATCTCTACGCAGGTTTGATCCCCATCTCCACACCTTGTCCCAGCTAGTCCAACCATGAGGTGAGTTTAGTGCAATACATTGCTAAAGGCTTGCTCTGTGCCTCCTGCACTGGAGGTAAATAAGAAATATTTCCTTGGAATTTCAGTGGGTCTTCTGTCTTCTTACCTACTGCAAAGGTGCCAGAGTTCACAGGGCTGGCAAAGGGCGAGCTGGAGCCGTTTGTTGTCCATGCCTGCTTGAGAGAAGAGGTGGTCTCATCCCAGAAATTTTAGTTGACCTGTGTTACATTCTTCTTAATGACACCTGATGAAATTAATTCTTTAGATGAACACAAAAGGACATTTCTGCATCAGCTGGAATAATTAGCCAGAATGTGTCACAATCATTGCTGATTTGTTCACCAAATAGCACAGTTAGATCTTTGACCAGAATAAAAAGAAATTAAATTATAACAGAAGTGAGGTAGCTTTAAAGTGTTTTTTGCCTTTTTTTTTTTTTTAAAATACACATACACATGTATATAAAACATGTTTGTATTTTATAGCACGGTTTGCAGTTAATGCTGTGCTACAAAGTAGCCACGATAAATTTCTAGCTGAAACATGGTCTCTAGTGCTTACTTCAGCATTCAAAATGCTAAATGAGAATGTTTGTTCTTTCACGCAGCAGTTATTCACACGAGGTTGAATAGGGCCTCACAAGATTGTTACATGATATATGAGTACTTACAATGTGGATGTGCACGGTTGCTGGGATGGGCAAGGCAAATTCTAGCAAAATGTGGGGCTTGAATCTGTTGGAAGTGCATCATGGCTGGACTTTGCAGAGGTTTGCTATCCCATCAAACTTGACTTGGAGAGAAAAATGTGCCTAGCAGCATTTTTAAAGTCTTTAAGAGCTCTAGTGTCAGGCTGAATTGAAAATGGAATTCATGCAGCTGAATTAGAATCTGTGCAAGAAAGATGTCTCCCTTCCAAAAGGAGGGATTGACTGTGTGGTTGTAGTTGGCTTTAGTACCCCTGAACACACCCTTCTTGTTGCCTGACAGCTGGATTGCACAGCATAGCTGGGTGAGCTGGTAATTATTACAATAAAGTCACCCACCTTGGGAAAACAACCGGTGTTACTGTCGCGTGGTGTGCCTGGCACGTGGGTGCCCTGTCAGAAATCATCAGGGAGAGATGTGGGCACAGGGTAGGTGCAGAATCCTGGTGGGATGCTTTCTTCCCTTGCTCAATTGCTTTGAGTAGGAACAAATGAATCAGTTGTGCAGACAGTTAAATTCTCGTCAGTAGTCTTCAGAGTAAACAAATGAGATGTGAACTTTGCAGGCCTGTACAGACAGCGCTGAGCCCCTCGCTGTATATTGTGAGTATGCAGGCAGGAACTGGGGTGGTACAAATCTGCATAGCTCCACTGCCAGGAAAAACAGCAAGCCAAAAGATACACAGCAGTCTATGCATACTCGTCTTTGTCTAGGAACATCTGAAATAATTCATTTTATATTAGGTGAAGAATTGCTACTTATCACAACTCTTATAAGAAAGGATTTTTACACAGTGAGAACAATCAATCACTGGAACCACCTCCCCAGGGATGTGATGGTGTCCTCATCGCTGGAGGTTTTCAAGATGTGACTGCACAGCGTGCTAGATAATTTCGTCCAGGCTCCCTTTCCCATGAAAGCTTGGACCAGATGATCTTTCGAGGTCCTTCTGACCTGAGCTGTTCTATGGTTAATGCTTTTGTATTTCCTCAGCACTGCTCAGCTTAGGGTCTCAGCTCACTTTCAAAGACTCAGGTCTGGGAAGAGCCTGAAGGCAGTCGTGCCTTCTCTCCATGTTGCAGATTTCTCTTGATCAAAGTCAGAATGAAATTCAGTGGAGGACAAAGGAGGCTGTGTGTATCAGAACCTCTCTGGATAAGAATAGATCCTGCCATTGGTTTGAGCCTGCCCAGGTGAGCTGCTTGCAGATCCTTGCAAATTCTTGCAGTCTCTATCGCTGGTGGTTTGAACTGGCCTCACTTCTTACATGGCTGTTGTGAGGTTAGACTAGATCTTCTGTGTAGACAAAACCCTGCTTACCAGTAAATCAGAACAACATTGATAGGTGGTAGAAAAAGAATAAAGCATCGATCTAAAAAATGGCATTTTCCTTGTACAACTAGCAAATATTTTTTTAAAATGTGAATGTTTAATTCTAAGCTTACTGCGTTGTCTTTTATATTCACAGGTATATTTTGAAAACGATAATTCTGGGCCAGATACTCTCCTTGTTTATCTGTGGGACTGCTGTTACAAGCCAGTACCTAGCAGAAAAATACCAAGTGAACACTCCAATGTTTCAAAGTTTTATCAACTATTCTTTGCTTCTTCTAGTTTATACAACAATGCTGGCATTTAGGACTGGTATGTGAAATATGGGATGGGAGATTCTGGTTCATCTTTTTTTTTTTTTTTTCTCTTCTACATTTTCATTTCAGATTTTGAAACAAAAGAACTTAATACTCATTCTATTTTTTTTAAGTTACTGCTGAAATTCCTACCTTGTTATAACACATGGAAATTAATTTCACAGCTTAAATGTGCATTTAGTTTGATTTCATTTCATATCTGTTTAAAATTATGTGCTCTTTGGTTTCAAGCCCTGTGTTATATTAGGGAAAATAGACTTTGTTGTAACAAGCTTCTTTACCAGAAACTATTTAATATTCCTCCTATTCTTATTAATTTACTGTTTAAATAACTCAAGTCTTGTGTTTTTTTCCTCATGTGGAAGAATTTCTATGCGTTTCACCATTGCATTGCTCCTCCCAGTCTGCATTTTGCTGTTACTGTATCTTTCTTAAGCAGGGGTACCCAAAATTGAGCATTTCACTATTATTTATGCTTTTAAAAGCAAGATTCCTGTGCAGCATTTGTTTGAAAAGAAACACGTACTGATTGCTGCTTTCTTCTAAACAGGCAGTGATAGTCTTTGGCAAATTTTGAAACAGAGGTGGTGGAAGTATATTTTTTTGGGACTGGCTGATGTTGAAGCCAATTACATGATTGTAAAAGCATACCAATACACGACCCTCACAAGTGTGCAGGTAAGGACTGACCTCTCTCTTTTTGAACTGTTGCTTTTATTACAGCTTCAGACCAGTTTCTGAAATGAGATTCATAAGATAGACATGGAAGCTATTTAAGCCTGAAAAAGCTTTCCAATATCTATTTTCTCTCTGCAGTACAGAGAAGAGTATCCTGCATCATGAATAACATTTCCAGGAAGCAGAGAAAATTGGATGGTATTACCCAGTGCCAGCTCTTGAGTTGAACTCTAATTATTTTGATAGAAAGCACTTCTAAGAGTTTGCTGACAGCCACTCAGGTTTTTCTCCTGACACAAAATAAAGATTTATGACCAGATAAGGCTCACCCAGCACAGATTGTTGCTGATCAGAGTGAGGTAGACCTCTCGCCTGGCATTAGAAGATGTTGGAGGCATTGCAAGACGTAACCCCACGCGTGAGGACATACTGATAGCTGGTGTTGCTGACCATGCAATGAGGGACAAGCCCTATGGCTTTTGAATGTGGCACTTCAGGCCCATTTCTGGAAGAAATGGAAGGGAGGTCAGTGTGCCAGGCTCCTGAAGTGCCAGTAAACATCCTCTGCAATGCCAGTGCTTGGTGCTGCATCGCTGCACTAGGATGAATCTTGTGTTCTGAAATAGCTCTATGAGCAGAAGGGCTAAGGCTGGAATTTCTTTGTCACCCTACACAGACAGAAGCTGCTTGAAGAGTTAGTGCCTTCTTCCTGCCTCCAACTGCATGCTCCTGAGCTTGCACAGCCAAATCCCTTGAGCAAACTGGCTCAGGGCACTGAGCAAAGTCAGAGTAAACCCTGTCTTTGCTGGTTTATTCGTGAGCCGTGTGAAGCCCCCGAGTGCAGAAGCAAGGAGTGAGCATGTCTGGGGCCTGCTCTTACCAGTGGTGGATCTGTGGCTGGGGTCATGGCCTCACTTACTTGCATAAAAAATAATGTACTATACACAATTGGCTGTTACTTGGAAAGGAGTGTTTAGGTTTCAGTTTTTTACAGAGCCAAAGTAACAAGGGTTAATATTTAAAAGAATTACTTGTAAAGCAATAAACTGCGGTGGTGTGGGCTCCCTTTAGACAAACTTTTCCTTGCACTATTTAAAGACGAGTAACATGTGCCTAATGGATTATTATTGTCACATTTCTACTTCATACTTACGTGTTATGACTCATTAGGCATTTAATTCCCTTACAATTAATGCCTCAGAAATCAAAGCTTTGAGTGATACGTTTCAGTCTCAAGATCAAGTTAAGCTGATAATCGAGACACTGCTTGATCATATACTTTACAGCTGAAAAAGCCAGGACATGGATCCAAGTTCTCAGAAGTAGTAAAGCTATTCCTATGATTTCTTTCATAGAAATTAAGAAAGAGTAAATACAGTAGGTTGTACTATCCAGTTGCCAAACTCAAGCAGTTGCTAATCCTTCTTCCCATGTGGTAACCTTCAGACTGATGATTCTTTCAGTGCCAGTTCAGTAACTGTGAATTTATTGTAACTGCTTGTTGCAATAAGGTTTCTTGCACATTCTCTGAAGTCACCAGTTTCTCACCACTGTCACAACTGAGATACAGGACAAAAAAAAAAAAAAAAAAAACAACCCCAAAAGCCTGTGATTTGCTCCAGTGCAAGGCATTTGCTATCTGCCAGTAGCAAGCAGTTCTGCAGTTCCATCAGAACATGTGGTTCAGAGCACCCAGCCTGATAGACTGCCTGTGGTACTGGCTGTGAGTGCATGTCCAGGGAGCATAAAAGCAACGCAGGAGTAGGTGGCACCATCCTGAATACAGAGTAATCACTGTTAAAATGCTGACTGGCTGGAGCTTCAGCTCAGCCCTATGAAACTTATTTTCAAAGTTTTCTCAGCTCAGCAAGGAACTTCCATGTATTTTCTCACACCTGCACACAAAAGCAGAACTGATTTTCCTTTAGTTATCAAATGCCAGCATTGGACGGAAGGGATTGGGAGATTTTTAAGGAGATAGCATTGGGAGGGCAGCTTTCATTTCTCTATAAATAAAGAAAAAGACTTTGATCCACAACAGAACTCTTTCTATTTGGCTGTGGCTGAGGTAATGCCAGGGAGACTTCTTGCTGCTGGTGTCCTTCTGTTTTCTGGCAGGGCTTGGCTGTGCTGCTGTCTGATCACATATTTCTTAGCAAAACCCAAGCAGCATAGCTGTGGCTTCATGTTGTTCACATGTTATTGGGCACAATTAGCATTTGCTCCGTAGGTATTTTGAGTGGAGGCATTTTATAGGCAGCTATTGACAGAATATCAGCTGATGAGTGTTAACCTCAGCAGAAGAAAATGCAGGATGAGTCCCTGGGGCTCAGCTGGAGGCTGCCTGAAGGGAGCCATGCAGGGAAGCAAGCAGGCTGAACTGTTGAGTTTTCTTGCTCACAAAGCTGTCTGGAGCTGGCAATTATACGCAAACCGATGACCTCCTATGATCATTTATTAACCATGTATTAAAACATCTTTTAATAATTTACTCACTCTACCTTTAAAATCTTTCTATAAACAGTGTGGCCAAAGGCTGGCTTGAGTCAAAACATTTGTAAATCAAATCATCAGGTTATCTGTTTTTTTCCCTTGTAAAAAATACAGACTAGAATTGAATAAGATGAGAGTTTGCCGAGGCTCTACTGGCAATAGTAATCAGTACTGCAGTACTGCTGTAAATGTCGTAAAACCTGAATAAATCAGCTTTATTCTTTTTAATGATTCTATTGACACAATTCATTGTGATACTACATCTGCTTTGCACCTCTTTGATCTTGATCCTGAACAGAAGAGCTCTATAGCGTAGTAGATGAAGGGAAGGCAAGATCCAGTAGTTGAAAATCAGATTTCTTCTGTCTGTAATTGAGTTTAATTGTCCCCTGGAACAGATTACCAGAACATGTTCTTCATAATTTGGTGCCTGTATGTCCTGGCTGCAAGTCCTCTAACCAGGATGCTGTGCTTCTACAGTATGTTACTGGTCTGGATGCAAAAATTCCCCATCTGGCATTACTGAAAGAGCATGTGGCTCATTATCTACCACTCCCTTGCATCCTAATTAAGATTTTTTTTTTTTTAAAGGGTTTTTGTTCCACTCTGTCTGTTTGGGTTGAAAAACTGCTTGGGAGGTTGGAAAGCTACATGGTAACATCTCAATAAATGGGGAAATTAAAATATATTAATAGAAGAGATGTCTGCTACCAGAGCGGTAAAATTTTTGCTTTCTAATTTTTGTAGTATTTCTTATTTTCCATGATTGCAACTTCACACCAGAGAGCTCAAATACATTGCCATACTCAAGACAGAAGTGGTTCAGACCAAAGGTGGCAAAACTGAGTTATCAGAGCTGAATTGTACATTTTGCAGAGACAGGTAAATGACACTTGGTAGATACTAGTCAAAACAGTCAAATTTGGAGGAAATGGTAGAAATTATTTTTTTGAGCCCAGACAAAAGGTAGGATAGAGAAAAAGGAGTGGGACTAGATAGAAACTCACAGCATGATACTTTTCTGATAGAGCAAAGTTGTATTGAGATACAACTATGCTATCACATATTAGGACTTGTGTGGCTCTAATGCCTCCTAGTACAGCCTAGGCAAGTGCTTTTGCACAGACTTCTCAGATTGGGCGAGCTGGAGGCAACATAAGAAACAAAGACAAATGGAAGGATTAGAGAGCAGCATTAGGATTTAATCTGTAATAATTCCCCTTAATGTTGTGCCAGTCAGACTTTAATACATGTGGTTATGAACAAGTAAAACCAAACTTACCACGAAAATCTTACGAGTTTGGTTAAAACCCTTGGGGACGATGGCTGAACTAATGGAATACTGCGGTGGTGCACTCAGGCAGGCAGAAGTTAACAATGCACATTAAGGACTAGGGGCTCTTGCCTTGATTGTAATGATTATGCCCCAGTCCTATCAGCCTGGACCTAATACTTTGGAATGACTTCAAGAAGGCAAATTTTAAGGGCTGACATTTAAGAGCAATTTGTGAGCAGTCTTTAGAAGGCTGACACTATGTTCTGCTGTAGACTGTTCCCTCATGTGTTCTCAGGGCACTCTACTGAGGCAGCTCAGAAAATAAACTGCTTTTTTCCCCAAACAAATTCAGAAATAAAGTCTATTTTATTAAATTGAATATGAAACCAATTATGATTAGCTCAATGTTCTTGGTATTATTTGGTTGTTCTGGAACACTATGGCCATCTTACACTGCTGTGTATTTTTCTTTATTAAGAAAAATATTAAGAAAAATTATTTCTTTATTATTTTTTTAACCAGCCCTGATTTTGGTGCCATGAGAAAGTTTTTGCTTTCAAAAAATCTCATTTTGCAGATTTGTGTTGGAGTGACAGTTCCCCTGAGCAAACCTTTTAAACTTGCAATAAACTTTTCTTGAATTCAATCCTCTAAATTTTTCTTATTATTTCACATTTCCCTGTACAATAAAATATACTTTTCAAAAAATCACTATGCATCAATAAACATCTGTTGACAAATTACATTAATAAACTTATATTTTACTCTCTATATACATGTTGGCAATGTCAAAGCTTCAAGGTTCACATGGAGGTCTGCAAGACCATGGAAATGTACACAAATAACTTACATATAGGAAAAAAAACAAAAGCTGAAGAATATTTTTTCCACATTATATTAAGAAATTCTTTCCTGTGAGGGTGGTCAGACACTGGAACAGGTTGCCCAAGGAAGTTGTGGATGCCCCCTCCCTGGAAGTGTTCAAGGCCAGGTTGGATGAGGCTTTGAGCAACCTGGTCTAGTGGAAGGTGTCCCTGCTGATGGCAGGGGTGTTGGAACTAGATGATCTTTAAGGTCCCTTCCAACCTGAACCATTCTGTGTTTCTAAGTACTCAGCTAACTCTTTATTTTTTCTGTAATGGAGGAGGATGAGTAGAAGATAGATGTGTCTAGCAAGGCAAAGATACGTAAAGTTTTAGGAACACACAGAGAGGAAATAATGAAGAAAGCAAAGAGAAGTAGGTGTCACTGCTTGTCAAGGAGGGCAGACATCCTTGAACCATAGCTATTGAGTCTGCCTGGGGCAGTGTCTGCAAACACATCCAAAGTGCTTTGGAACTCCAGCTGCCTTGTGTGTCTCTGCAGCTGTGGCATGGGTGAATTGGAGTGGGTTACCTGCTTCTGACTAATAGAGAGTCAGCTCTAACAGAGGAATGAAAATGCACTGGTGGATTGCCTGTGATTTTGTGGGAAGTTGGAAGATGGGGAAGGTGACTTTAGGAAAGCTGTTTTCCCATTCCTGTCTTCCTTTTACCATTTTTGCACATGGCTTCCAGCTCATGTACCTTTAAAAATTTTTTTAAGTAGGATCCACTTGGGGAAAATAAAATCGAAACAAAAACTGCTGGGTCAGATTCTTGCCCTATTCGCTTTGATGTAAAATCAGATCACTTGTATCCTTTAAATGTTTCAGATTTTCACTTTGCGTACATGGAGCCCTAAATTCTAATTACAGTTTTGAGGAGTGAAGAGACAAGCTAGACAAAACCTGCTAGGGAGAAAAGGAAATGTCAGTGAACTCCCTCGTTGTTTTGGTGTTCTGGGGAGCAACGCGATTTCAGAGCAACATCCTAGTGTTCATTTGTGATGCTGCAATGACTGTTTAGACCCATCACTGGAAGATTTTTAGAACAATGCCTTCCCACCAGGAGAGCATGGACCCACCTGCTTCTCTTTCACTTTCAGAGAACCAGCTCCTCCTTCACTTTCAGAATGCTTTTCATGGTAAAACGTGGGTCTGACCCCTCTTTTAAATGAATCCACTGGGGTTGCTTTACAGCTTTTATTAACATCTGATAGCGACAGAAAGTAAAATCCTGTACTTTTGTTTTCAGGATAGTGTAACCCAGATTTGGGTTGGGTTTCTTATGCAAACCATTTCTCTATACACACAGCTGCTGGACTGTTTTGGGATTCCTGTGCTGATGGCTTTGTCGTGGTTCATTCTCCGTGCAAGATACAGGCTGATCCATTTTCTTGCTGTTGCCGTCTGTTTGCTGGGTGTTGGAACAATGGTGGGTGCAGACATTTTGGCAGGGAGGCAGGACAGCGAAGGTAAGGAATCCTTTATTGCATTGGGGAAGAGCAAAGAGATGGTTCCTGTGGTGGGCTAACTTGCAAAGGAGAAAGAGGAACAAATGCAGGGGGAGTGGATATAGTTTTTTTTTAAAAGAGGAGAAGACGTGCTGCTATTTGTATTTCTTGTCCAAGAAGACAGTGGCTGAGAAGATGCTGATTTTATAGGGAGCTGTGGAATTTATTTGCTTGTAGATTTGGATTATTTCTTCCACCTTAAAAGAGAAACACTTGTGCTAAGCTTAAATTTTGCTGCTATTCATCAAACCTGATGAAAGGCCTCATTCTTGAAAACTTGTTCACTTTTATTAATCATGTGAGATGGTCTAATAAACGATGCTGCCTTTCCCTGTAAACCTTGTCTTGCTTACACTGTATCACCTTGGTGGCAGCCAGACTTCTCTGATTTGCAGTTTTCTGTGAGCACAAATAGCAAATAAAAAGTTACTTAAGATCAGGCTGACTTCTCTGAGTTATCTTTGTCAGAGCCAACAGAAATACTCCACGTATCCCCAAGGCCCACAGGCCACAGCCTGGAAAGCAGGGGCTTGCGACGGGAGAGCAAGAGGAGACATGGACAGGATGCTGGGATTCCTGGCACCTCTGGGAGGGAGGCTGGGCTCTGGGGACCAGGATCTGGGGCAGGTCTTATCTTCTCTATGACAGATGCCTAAATAATCCCATATCATAGTGATCTTATTTTGAATAAGAATTTTGAATTTTCAGAGCCAGTGGTTATGAGGCAAGGTAGTTTTCAGGGGGAGAGGAATGGGGTATTGCCTTCCTCAGGCAGTGTAGAGATAAGCCTCTTTGGCATTATTTTGGGGCCTTACTGTAGGTAAGACCTCAAGGCAAACTGAGGTTTAGCTTTAATGCTATATGATACAAGTGTCTCAGTCCTGAGGGAGAAAAATCTTCTTTCCCTGAGACTTTAAGACAGTTTTGTTTTATTTGCTGACCTGGGTATCCTCACTACTACTTACCCTTGTATTTCAGTCCTCTGTTCTTAACAATTGCCAGCTGGCTCAGGGAAGGACATTTTAAATCAATTCAAGGATTTAAACAACAGTGATCCTCTTGCTATTTAGCTAATGCATAATGACATTTATTGATGAGTGATTGTATCACGGGGAGTCCCATTTGCACAGTATAAATAAATCGCAGCAGGACACACCATACCACCCATCTGCAGTGCCCACTTAAGACCTGTCATAAACTTGAAGCTGAGTCCAGGTCCTCCTGAAATCAATAGACTGATTTTAGCAAGACTTGAATCAGGCCTTACTGCAAAACCAGGGACGATATTCAGAAGGGCAGAGAGCATCTCTGACTGGGAATTTTCTGAAGTGCCTACAGTGCCTAAGGTCAGCAGAAGTAGAATTGGACCAGACTGTACAGCAGTGGCTTGGTCAGGATGAGATTTAAATGCTGGTTTTAGCTCATTCCAGATTGCACAGGGTGAGGGGAGCAGGTAGCAGACACCATGCCACTTGTCAGCACACAGAGCAGATGTTTCCTTTCCCCTTACCCTGAAAGGCACCAGGAAGATACAGATGTCAGAGATAAACTTGCTTGTCTTTTTAAGGAAAGTTAAAAAAGTGTTTGCAGCATTACCCTTATTGTGGATTAATATTTCTGTACAGGTAGTGACGTGGTGATTGGAGATGTCTTAGTGCTTCTTGGTGCTTCTTTGTATGCCATTTCTAATGTGAGTGAGGAATACATTGTGAAAAATCTGAGCAGAGTGGAGTTTCTAGGAATGGTGGGCTTGTTTGGGACTATTATCAGCGGTCTACAGCTGTAAGGATCTAATATTTATTTTAAAACTAATTAAGAATATTCTACAGATGATTGCTTGTCTACCATGCAATGATGTTATTGTTATTAAATTGATCCTTTGTTATGTCTACATTTGGCCTATATGGGAGTCCTTCCACTTGAATTTTATTTTTGTTGCTGATCAGCATCTGTTTTGCGTCCTTTTTATTTGCACTACTGTTACTACAGCAATTCTAAGGCTGAAATCCTGCAACTGAACACCTATGATACTTGGCTGTATTTTTCATTTTGTTGATCTTCATGAGGACACTCAGTATACTGAGGACTGTTCACAGGAGTGTATTTCTTAATGGATTTTCTCCGTGGAAAAGTTTAGGAGATAATCGTTAGTAGGAGCTCTTCCATATTAAACTTCAATTTAAAATGAAGCCATGTATATTATAAATAACCACGTTAGAGTAACAGACCATGTGAACTTAAACCTATCTAATGAATTTTATGTTCCTTATTTCTCATCATTATAGTTAATAATTTCTTCAAATGGTATATCAAATAAAACTGAATCTCTGAAGGATGAAAAAGTGTGGAAAGAAGGGATAAGAATTAAATAAAAGTGCTCTTGACTTTCAGGCACTTTAATTTTCAAGTCTTTTTTCATGCTTGTTAGATGTTGGAGTTAGTGTCATTCAATAAAATTTCAAACAAAAAGTTAAAGGATTATAAATCAAAATGTTTCTAATATATATATTCTGGTAATTAAGTTCTCTGTTTGAATATGCTATGCTTTTTTTTCCCTTTTATTACTATATTGTATCTTTTCTCTAACTCTAGAGCCATTGTGGAACATAGGGAGATAATGAGAATTCAATGGAACTGGAAAATTGGTATGTGTATGACAAAATGATGTGCATTTTTACAGAACATTGAAAAATTATAATCATTTAGGCTTCAAATACTGGGGATTTAATTTTCGTTCTCTGGATATTAAGCAGCATTCATATTGTCACAAATTTACTTTCTGCAAACTCTGCAGCTCAGCAAAGAAATAGGGTTTGCAGGATTGAATAATAAAACCTTTGAGCTCAGATTTTGCATTTTACATATAGCATGAAACAATTTTTCAAAATAAATTGCAAAAAGTGAAAATCAAACCTGTTTAATCAGAGATGTATTTGATGTTAGAACATCACAAGAACATTTTTCTTGTCCTTCCTAAATGAAATACTGGGAAAATGGATTTTGTGACGCATTTTGATCTCAATAGAACTCCACGTTATTAAGAAAGGTGGCTCTAAATTTCTTCAGTCAGCTCTTATGTTGACTAGGAAAGAATGAGAACTTCCTTGTATACATACAGTAATTTTTGCAATACAAAGTAGTCTTGAAAAAGACGTATTTCTGTTTATATTAAATTTTTATTCTCATATCTTTTAGGAGACATCCTAAAAGATAAAAGTGCAAGCCTTTAAAGTATCTGAAGAATATCAGTGGTCTTTAAAATCATTATTTTGTGCCTTAGGAGTAAGTTGTCATCTTGTTTTCCAGCATTACTGTTCACAGTCTTTGCCCTGTGTATGTTTGGGCTGTACAGCTTCATGCCAGTCGTGATTAAAGTTACCAGCGCAACCTCGGTCAACCTGGGTATTCTGACTGCGGATCTCTACAGTCTGTTCTTTGGGCTTTTCCTCTTTTTCTATAAGGTAAGTACCTTCATTCTTTCAGTATAATTTCAGTTACATTTTCACTCCAAAATTATAAATAAAGCATAATGTTCTTAAAAGCCCCTGAACAGTCATTTGCACTTGTACATTTCTACAGCCCATGTGGTTCATCATTGGCAGATGTCAGTGAGGAGTCATACTTAGTTAATTATATAGCATTGCACCATTGGACAGATAGTGATTTTCAAACAATTTCACAGTTCATGGAATACATTAGAATTAATGTCAAGAGATAGTAAAAAATTTCCTGAGGTGTACAAATGGTAGAGTTCTTAATGTAAGCCCTGTGTGGAACTGTATGTTAGATCTGGTTCCTCTCTCTGAGTGTCCAGAGGGAGGGTTTGAATCTCCCTGTCTTGAAAGGCATTTGGTGTCTGAGAGAGGAGCAGTTTGACTTGATTTCCAGAAATTAATATTTTCTTTTAGAGATTTAATCTTCTCATTACCAACATCTTGGGATAAGAATCAAGCTCTCTCAGGGCAACTGCCTAGGGACTGAAAAAAAAAATGCAGGTAAATATATTATTGTGTACACTCTCCAAAAGGCAGTTACGTTTATTGCTCACTGAAATATTTTTGGTAGTGTCTATTCAAGCTAAATGACAGTGCTAAAAAGATTTCCACCCTATGCTTTTAATCCAGAATCATTTGTGGGAACCTAGCTTGTTACAGCAATTGGAGTAATTGAGTCTCTCGGTGACTGGAAGGGCTTAGTGAGAAGCTTGTGAACTTTGCTTAAGAACTTAATTTGTATTATTCCATGTGGTTGCTTTCTCTTCAGCGTTATAGAAAGCCAGAAGCTTTTAGGTCAGATTTGTTTCTGAAAATGAAGGCCAATTTATTTTACAGCATGTAGGTCTGGTAATGGTAGGATCTGACTACAACTAGATTTTGCTTTTCAAGAGTCTCCTCTTAGCTCAGTTTTCTTCCTTGTTTTGGCTTCCAAAATTTGATCCAAGCTACAAAGCGTCTGTTAAAAATGAATGTAGGAAGTGAACCAATTCTAACAATTAAAAAAATCCTTTCTAAGTAACTTTCAAACGTGTATTTTGGCACCCAGGTAGCTTAACTCAAGAAGTGATTATAAATTTGTATTTACAATAGTAAATTGATTATAAATTTATATTCATAATAGTAAAGAGGAAGAAGTAAGCAAGAGCTTTGGAAGGGATATAATAAACTTTTATTTTTCAGGATTTTTAGCTTATTTTGGGGAGAGATTTTTCTGGGAGCAGATCATCCCATAATTACTAACTGCAGGTATTCTGGTAGCAAAAAGGAAAAATGAATTAGAGACCTCTTCCATCCAGAGGGACCTTGACAGGCTTGGGAGATGGGCCTGTGTGAACCTCATGAAGTTCAACGAGGCCAAGTGCAAGGTCCTGTACCTGGGTCAGGGCCAACCCCAAGCACAAATGCAGGCTGGGCAGAGAATGGATGGAGAGCAGTGCTGAGGAGAAGAGCTTGGGGGTGGTGGTGAACGAGAAGCTCAACATGAGCTGACAATTTGCGCTCACAGCCCAGAAGGCCAATAACCGTATTCTGGGCTGCATCAAGAGAAGCGTGTCCAGCAGGTCGAGGGAGGTGATTCTGCCCCTCTACTCCGCTCTCGTAAGACCCCACCTGGAGTACTGCGTCCAGTTCTGGAGCCCCCAACATAAGAGAGACATGGAGCAGCTAGAACAAGTCCAGAGGAGGCCATGAGGATGATCCGAGGGCTGGAGCACCTCTCCTATGAGGACAGGCTGAGAGAGTTGGGGCTGTTCAGCCTGGAAAAGAGAAGGCTCTGGGGAGATCTTATTGCAGCCTTCCAATACCTGAAGGGGCTACAGGAAGGCTGGGGAGGGACTTTTTACAAGGGCAGGTAGTGACAGAGCAAGGGGCAGCGGCTTTAAACTGGAAGAGGGTAGGTTTTGATGAGGTATTAGGAAGAAATTCTTTCCTGTGAGGGTGGTCAGACACTGGAACAGGTTGCCTAAGGAAGTTGTGGATGCCCCCTCCCTGGAAGTGTTTAAGGCCAGGTTGGATGAGGCTTTGAGCAACCTGATCTAGTGGAAGGTGTCCCTGCTGATGGCAGGGGGGTTGGAACTAGATGATCTTTAAGGTCCCTTCCAATCCTAACCATTCTATGATTCTAAGACTTTGGAGTTGTATTATGAGAGAATTTTAGATATTTATTAAAATAGGAACTTGCATCTGTGATTAGAAAAAAATGAAGTGTCAGAAAGGGGAGCAATAATAATGCCACATCCTTAGGAATCAGGATTTGAGATAGCTTAAAAAAACCCAGGAACTGAGAGCACCTGATTTTGATGTGGCTTTTAATGTAACACTTAGCATTAGAAAACCTTCTTGCCAAGTTAATCATATAGTTTTTTTTACCTATGGGGCAAAAAAAACCAGGCAGGACATTTCCTGGATTAAAAGGCATCCTGTACACAGGAATCTCCAAACAATAATGCGAGGAATTGCTCTGTATTCCCCATGACCAGATGGTGTTTCACAGCAAGCCGCTGAAGGCTTGGCTGGGCTGCAGGGCAGAGCAGAGTGAGCTACAGAGAGCTCTGCATTGCTGTGGTCTCAGCCTGCTCTAAAACAGAAGCAGCACAAACATACAGTGGCTATACAGAGACCTGGCCCAGGAATTGATGAGGTTTTGACTTGAGCACAGTGTTTTGCTAATGCACTCAACTTTTCATGTCTGTTTAAGGTGAAATGTGAACTTTGTGTACCTGTTTTGAGGAGGTCTTTTTTTTTTTTTTTATTTACTTCATAATGAATCTTTACTGTTCTCATTCCTAATGAGCTCATTATATAGATACCTGTAGTCCCTCAAGAGATATTAAAAAACATCTCCAAATACTTTTGTTGTATAAACTCGTATGGGAGTACTCTGCAAATACAGACACTAGATGGAGTTACAGTCCTCCAGTAACATTTAAAGTAGTCTTTAGGCTTGATATTGGTATGGGGATATAAGATGCACAGGTATGACTGAAAACAGCGTCTGAAGCAATGAAGTTGCTGCAATATTTAAAATTTAAAAAAAAAAAAGACCACTGAGCCCTCACTAAAAATGAAAGAAAGAAAGAAAAAAAAAAGAGCGTAGGCCTGTTGGAGCAGCGTGGTTAAGGTTGACCTGTGTCAATATCTGCCAACACACAGGAATCACAGCCACACTGCAACAGCTTTGGCACACTGACTCATGGACTGTCCACTCATGGAGGAATTCATTCTGACAGGGATCAGAGATACCTACTGCCTTGTACACACTATGAGAGGGGGTCTGGCAGTTACTGTTGACTACCCGATCTCACCTGCTAGCCGTGTGTCCTTGCATGCAAGCACACCTTCACTCATGGCCTTAGGTTGCACTCTGGAGAAGTTGTGCAGGTGCCTTGAAACAGACACAGGCTCTGCACATTTGATGGGAATGGGTCAGTCATGGGTAGGGCCATGGATGCTGCCACTGCCTCCATCAGGACATCTTCAGAGCTTGGTGCTTCCTCCTGTGTGAACACTTGAGTCCAAACTCCTCCAGGCAGACAGCCAGCAAGGTGAGGAGAGAGGACACGTGTCATAAGGACACTGTGTTTCAGTCTGCTTTTCCTTTTGCATGGTCCCATCCAAGGGTTTCTGAGCCAAGTGACTACCAGCTAGGAATTGCCAAGCCTTAATTGTAGATGCCTCAGTCTTTTTTGGATCAGAGTTCACTGTCCAGGTCTTACCATTCATTTCATCCAGCTCTGCTGCTTAATAAACTAGAACGTATTTTTCAAGCACATCTAAGGAAGTTGAGGAGGTTATTGACAGAATATTGAGAGAATATTGACAGTGGGATGTTGGATGTGCTGTGTCCTTCATCGTACTGTTTAATCAGAGTGGTTTGGCAAAGTCAATATGGAGGACTTCAGCAAATCTGCTGAAAAAGTGTTCCTGGCTGTGGGTGACTTGAACACTTTGTATTATTGAGTCTGGTGTTATGCAGGAAGCATTTGTTTTTCTGTCAAGGTGGATGAATCTTGGCAATTGTTGGACTTTAACAGGCAAGTGAATGACAGTGAATCAAATGCCTGATGTACCTCATTGGTTCATACTCTTACCTCACACCACCCTTAACAGAACACGAATGCTGATCTTGTAAAAGGAGCCTCAGTCTCCCTCTCTTCAAGTACTTGCTGGGTGTAGAGACCAAACCAGTTTTGGTCTGGTAGTAACATTTATCTAGCCCTGCAGATGGTTAAAACAGCTGTGGAGAGAATCAGCTGCTCTGGTGACTTGCAGTAGGATGGAAAGATGAATCTCTTGACAGGACCTGAAATATTTGGCTGTGCTGAAACAAAATTCTCTTAGGAGTACAGTGTTTCAGTATTCATGTGTATAAATATCTGTCCTTCAGTATCACCATATTACAGCCATTTATTCTCTCTGTTAAGATTCTTGTATGTAGATGTAAGGAAACTCCCTCCCAGTCCAACAGTGTTGAGGATGAGATGCAGAGAACCAGACAGCTGCTTGAGTCTGTCAGTGAGTGGAGCTGTTGAATTTTGATTCTCAGGCCTGAATATTGTGATATACCATATTCAGGTCTGATATTCAGACCAGATCGTGGTGATAATCCTCATTAAAATAATTTTTAAAAGGAAGGGTAGCTTTCACATTCTTAAAATGTGAAGGCAGCATTGACATGTTTTTACATCAGACAAGACTTTTAAGCTTCTCTTTCTTTCCTCTGACAGTTTTCAGGTCTTTATATCCTGTCCTTCGTTATCATCATGGTGGGCTTCATCTTGTATTGCTCCACTCCAACTCGGACAGCAGAACCTACCGCCTTGCCACAGCCCAGCAGCACCGGCTTGGACAACGCTGCACTAAAGCTCGAGGAGAATGACAATGAAACTCCAACCATAACTGTACAGTTCACAAGAGGAGAAACTGTGGTGGTCAGCACTGATTAAAGAAATGGCAGCATTTCAAAATAGAGCTTTTTTTTTAACTGCCAAGTTTCCCTCAAATATTAATCCGGAGAATTGTTCTGCTGCCAAGGCATATGTCAATGCTGCGCTGGTTTTAATGCACGGGATAGACTTTTAAGGCCAGATCCTCAATCAGTGAAACTGTATTGATTTAGCCTTGCAGAAAATCTGGCACTTAGAAGAAGAGAGAGGAGTATTTATGTGGAGTCTCTGGGAAGTAAGAAATTGTTATTTTTAAATGCTTAATTAACTTAACAGCAAATGCTTGGGGGAAAAACTAAGCCAAAGCATGCTCTCAGGTCACTACCTGGAGCAAATATGTTTTATATTGCATTAGGGACCCAAATCTGCAAGATGCTGTCTGAGGGTTTCATGGTTCCCACATCTCAGTGCCGGGTGCCCTCAAACAGCATCTTGCAAAAGCCACTCAGCCTCTCACAGGATCTAGTCCTGCAAGCCATATTACTTACGTACACCTTCCACGTGCTGATGGACTTCATTCCTCTGCTGAAGGACTTGCTTCTTACATTCCACCCAAATGTTCATCTCTTTGTAGTGCTGCACTCCCTGTCGCAGCTGGGACTGCTACAAGTATTTTATATTGAATTTTGCTAGTAAGGGAAGCTCGAACATGTGTTTTTATAATCCCTTCTTTTTCTCTCTGTTTCCTGTTGTTTGGTGCACTCCAGCTAGGTGAAGGAATCAAAGTCAGGCCCTTGCTCTGTTCAGTAAGAACTGAAGGATTTTTTTTTTCAGGGTGAGAAACAAAATGATTTGAATTGAAGTTCACTTCTCAGTGAATTTCTCCATGTAATGGGACACATTTATACAGAGAGATTTGAATAAAATTGGCATTTCTTAAAAAAAATTGGAGCATCTTGGCCAATCCTCATTGCAACAATAATGACATAATCTCCAAAAGGTTAAGTGCTTTCAGTAGAATCACTGGTAGTTTTCCTCCCCCTCTTCATATTTACAGTAAATGATTAAAAAATACGAGGCTGCAGTTTTTACATCAGTAAAACCATAGTGTGATTTTATTTTATTTCATTTTATTTTTTTTGTACAAGCCTTCATAGCTCAGATGTATAAAGAAACAAAAGAATAAAGTTTCCAGCAGCTGAAGACTTGGCTCTTGGTTTGTATATTTTTTAAGTTAGAATTTCTTTATTTCTCAAAATTATATTAATTGATTTTACTGACCAAATGATTTTTTTAATGGTTGAGCTTTGCCATAAGAAATAAATATTATTACATTTTCTGAAGATACTGGTGATCAGATGGCACAGACTGGTTTTACGTACTTCTGGAGTAATTTATTCAAGCAAAACAATTTAGCAAAAATCTTACCTGATTTTATTTAGCAAGAGCAGAACAAACGTTCAGCAGATACTACAGGAATTAGCGTTGCTTTTTCACTGAGTAGTTCATGCATGGAGGGGTGAAGAGGTGCTGATGTTTTATGAAAAGCATTTGAGCCAAGTTATCTTTAGCTTTACCACTGGAGTAAGATTCAGGTCATGGATTAAGACACTTGAACTGGTGCATCTATAGACATCTATACATCTAAAGCTGAACAAGCAGCTGGCGACCAGGTCGGGTAAGGAAGTCTGATGGCAGTAGATGCCTAAGAGAGGCCAGCTGAAGTTGTAGTGCTCCATACCAAAGTTTAGTTGCCTACAGCCTGGAGCTAATCCCCACCCACTGTCACCCATGTCATTAGTTAACTATGTGTAGTAACAAAGCAAACAAACCTATAGGTCTATAAGTGAATGTTCCAGAACTCTGCACTTATTGGTTCAGGATGGGATTCAGCTCCTAAATGTAAATAGTTATGTATTTTGTGCAAAAAAGTCGCTGAGGTCCTGTCTAAAGTGCCTCTCTGTGGCACATGATTCAGTTGCTTTGGTGTCAACTGAGACGCCCTATGGAGTCTGTAGTGTCTCTAGGTGCTGGCAGATAGGTAGGACCCAGATTCTAGAGACCTGTGACCTCAAGCAGGTTGTGGAGGCCAGATGAGATGCCCTGTGGTCTCTGAAATGGCACTGCAGCCTATGGCTGAGGCACTCAACCCTTTACTGCTGACTGTGCAGGGCCGTATGCAATTACTTTAGATGTTTAACCTTTACACAGCTGAGATTGGATGAGATGAATCCCAGATGAAGTTTATGGCCCAACGTGCAGCATGTTCATTCTGTGGTCAGTGGGTGGCCTTCCAGCATCTCTGTGATGTTCACTGGAACAGCTGTATGTGTCCAGTTGTTGAGAGCACTTTGGTGTGTCTGCATGTCCCATATGCAGTGCAGAATGAAAATCAGACTCATTGTATGCACCTCAGGAAGAATAGCAGGGCCCTTTGCACAGGGCCCACGGCAGCTGTGAATTGCTGTGCAAAGAAGAGAAAGCACGAGGCAGCAGCTGGAGTTAGAAGCATAGTGGCAATTGTCGATCAACGGCTGGCATCAGCGGGTGAAAACAGTACCTTGGCACATGGAAAAAGTAAAGATAAGTTAGCTCCTCAGTTCACAGCATCCTGTCTGATAGTTCCTATTGAGAGAAAAGCAGGGGTAGGTTTTTCCTTTGTGCCAAAGCAAGGAATAAAATCCTGCCAGCTTGCTAATGTTGGAGCAGCTTCATCAGGGGATGATGCTTGGCTGGTGTCCTGGAGTGCTGGTGTGAACAGGAAGGCAAATGGCAGCTTCCCCAGGGATAACCCTGTAGTTTTTCCATTAGCACAGTCACATAAGCTCTTACAGTGTGTTTGGGGTGGACCAAGTGAGATCAGGCATCTGCAGAGGTGTGGATCTGGAGCGACCTGTGCCCGGATAAGAGAAGAGGTGACAACCCAGAAGGCATTTGGAAATGGCAGAACAAATGCCAAAGGCAGGGACTCAGTCCAGCAAGCAACTGAAAAAAAGACCTGAAAAGAGAAGCCATCCCATGGCTTCTACCCCTTTTACAGGCAAGGGGTGGGACACATGTTGAGGCTGTTTTGAGGAGAAACTGCTAATGGGAGCAGGAAGCTTTAGGGAAATCCTCTTTATTGATGAAGGCAGCACCAAGTCCTCTTGTTCTGAAAATGGTGGATCCTTTCCTTCCTGCTCCAGTCCCCAGCATCTGGAGTGGACCCTGCCCCTGCCCCATGCACAGGAAGGACCTTAGGGGTGGTTCTGCAGCTGCCTTCAGAAAGGGCTTGCCTAACCCAAAAACATTTTTTAGTAAGATTTCCACGAGAGGTAGAAATCACAGTTGCCTATTTGGGATGTTTTTGACGCAACTTGCTGGTCTTTTTCTCATCACTGAGTTGTGGTGGGGTTGCTTCACTCATTTCAAATGGTAGAGCACGTATTGGAAAACACCAGGAGAACTTACAAGCTTTTCTGTGCCAAAAAATAAAAGCACACCTGGTTCAAAAGTTAATCTACAATATTGCTTTGATTGGGCAATAATCTTGCTAAATTATGTAATCACTAGCTCTTGTGTATTTGTCTGGGGCAGAAAATGCTATGGCTGTCTAGACGTGAGGAATGGCAGTTATGCCACCTAATGAATCTGAATTAATGTAAGGATTAGATCTTAATGATGTGTTAAGAAATAATGTATCCTTGACAATGTCTTCTGAGAATTTGTAAATATATTATTTAGGGGTTACATTTTTGAGGGATTGTGAAAGGAAATAGATCACCCTCAGATCTCTTTGCTGTAGATCATGGCATGAACAGTTCACTAAAGGTTTTGTGCTTCTTAAACCCATCAGCATCAACAGGCTGTGTTTGAAGACTATTAACTCTCCATTGCAGCAGAATGAAGGGGGGAACACCTACATTTGATTATTGAAGTCTGGATGCCACTATGTTTATAGTGCAGCCACAAAAATGTTTTAATTAGATGATTATTCCATACTGTCACTACAACAGGACAAAGACCATGCTTGTGGCAGTGCAGTATGTTATCTTTCAAAACATGGTTTATATCCAAGTTTGTTTTAATTTTAATTTTAATTTGGATACCAAATCCCCTCCCATGTAGAAAGCTCCCTTTGAGGGGGGATAGTATTTTATTCTCTATAGTCAGTGATAACATAACGTAGGTTTTATCTGAAAGCACATAGAAGTGTGTATTGATTCAGACTTTGGCTGGTCTTCAAAATGCAGGACCATCTTGTGGCATGGTGTGAGTGCATGGGCAGTAACTAGTCTCAAAATATAGAGCACAAATAAAAATTGTGTAAAACACATGTGCAATTACAATCATGCCATTAACTATGGATTTGTTCTTCCAAGGCTTTTAAAATATGACTGTAATAGTAGATTGTAGTCTGATTCAAACAAATCGGACTGGACAGGACTTCTGCTGAGCTGCAAGGAGAGGGGAGAAGTGTGGGACAGCATGCCAGCTCAGATTCCCCATCACTTACACTGTGACAGCTTGACGATTTGGCTGGTTTATCTTCTGAAATGAAAACTTAAAAACTCTGTTTCACAGTCACAGGCTGTGACTTAACTTAGTAAAAAAGATTTTTGTGCCACATTGTCAGTAACTAACGTTAAGATGTGTATTAATGCCATTGAGAAGCTCTGGAAGGTCTTTCAAGCTTTCAGCGAGGACAAGGTTGATATTTTTTGTAAATCTTTCTGTCAATAGCTCCATGCCCTTGCCATCCCCATGATGCAAGGCTCTTGTGTCTTGGTTTAGTCAGCTGTTCTATCACCCAGTGACCTCTCCTACCTGGGAAGGGGAATTGGGAAAAGGAAAGGAGACCCGTGGGTTGAAATGAAAACAGATTTAATGAAATAACAATAAGAACTAATATTAATACTAATGCAAATATAAAATACACAAAATTACACTCAGACGATGAAAGCGTGATGGTCATGACATGCAGGAGAGCAGGTCTCAAGAGCAGAATGATGGGCAAGACCCTCCAGGGATGGTGGCCATTGAGGAAGAGGGTCGTCCCCAGCAAACTTTCCAAATATAGTGAACGTGATGTTTATGCATCTGTTGGCCAGCTTGGGTCAGCTGCCCTGGCTTTCACTCCTCCTGGCCTTAGCATAAGGCTAACTCTAAACTGCTGA